TCCCGAAATAAACTGATTTAACAAAAATATTGTTTTAACCAATTAATTGTAAATCGGAATTCAGTATCGTTTACTAATTAATTATATTATGATTTTGTTTATAGTAGAAATCAAATTCATGGCAAAATCGTTTCATACTCTTTTGTTTCAAAATTATTTGCCACTAAACTACGACAAGATTGGATTGCATGTCTAGATTTAAAGGAACATCAAGATATCCGTTAGGTTTGTAAGAAAATGGACGATGTCTTTGATCCTTTGTATTTATCCTTTGTATTCTTGAAATTAAAGAAACTGAATAAAAATAAATAGAAACTACTCTTTAAGACCGGCATAGATAAGGGGTTCGTTGTATCCTTTCCCACTAGGGGCAGAAAAAAAACTAACAAGTTGCACTGCAACGCGTTTCCAGCTCAATTTTAATTGCATGTCCTTTTAGTCTTTCTTTCTTAAATAAAATTTTGAATCAAACGAAATAAAATAGCACCACAAACAAAAAAATATAGTAGACCAAACACTTAGATTTGAATAAAATACAAACCACTAGGTTGGTTGTTATTAATTTAATAAAACAAACCGGAACAAAATAAGATAATCCCCACTTGACCAAACTAGTAGCCAATAAAACTCAAGTTGGCAATAGTTTAAGCACGTCTCCGCTTTTGATTTAGGTCTAATAAATGTATTTATGTAAATGCACATGCTAATCAGGTTTCAAAATCTCAGTCCCTCCTATATAATTTTGCTCATTTAATGTTAAATCTATAGTTCATCTACATATAACTTTGATAAATCGTTACAAGAGTATTTTGACAGAAGGTTGAGACAGCTCAGTCTGAATATAATCAATACAAAGGTTGTTCGAAGTTTCAGTAATATTTTTGTTCTCAAAGGATAACGACTATGATACAATTTTTAGTCGATAATTTGTTCATTTTGTAAGAGGCAGGTATATCTTCTTTCTTTTTAGAAAAAATGTTGGGATAAGAGTTAAATTCATTTTACTCGTGGCCTCTAAACATTTAAACACGGCTATATATATACATTCGAAACATTTTTTATAGAAGATTATTAGGAATACAAGATACATAGTTTTTTATAGAAAAAAATACATGTATTAATTTAATCCCCTTACTATTAAATGGGAAATACAATTAGTGAGAATGCTTATTTATTTTAATTTAATTGGAGAAAAATGATGACATGTCTTTAAAAAAGATAACATGGCTTAAATCTCTAACTAATATTTTAACACAAATTGAATTACAATAATAAATTTCAAAAATTATAATTTCTATTTCYAAAWTTTMTTTAAATTTAARAACKATTCCAAAATMRATTTTCTTTTTAAAAAATATTATTGTGGTTTTTTCAAATAAAATACTAAGAACAATTTTCATATCTTTTTTTTTAAATTAACCACCAACTTCAAAATTTTCAAAAAATTGATAACGAATAGGAAATTGTTAAAACATTATCAACAACTTTATATAAAAAAATATTATAATAAATTTTGTAGTCGCCTAATATAATACTCAATTTTGTATATAAATTATATTTACATAACATATGAAAAATTAGTGGCTATAGAAAATCAATCGTCATATAAATGATAATATGTTATATTTCAAAAGATAATACCCATAAACATGAAATATTCAAAATAGATTCTACCACCATCAAAATCTATAAACAATTGCTGAAAATATTTTTGTTAGGCGGTCATTTTAAATAGTTAAATATTATTTTATTACTTTTAAATAAGTGTTTACAACAAAAATAATAACATGATGTTGTTCAGTCTTCAGCTAAAGTCAATCAAAAATTTGTAGTGAATCTTTCATGCGACTCAATCAAAGTAAGAATTTAATTTTTTAGCCCATCTATGACTTTTGATTTTTTTTTGTTTCCGTGTGTATTATGTTCTTAAGTTCTGCATGTCTCTTGATTTTCAGTTTTAATTGTTTAGATTTTTATGCAGTTTTTCACACTTAATTGTCTTTTTACTAGCTAAAACTAATTTGATTTTTGTTCTAACTTATTGAAAAAATAATGATTAACTAGGTGAACCAAAAAAAATTGAATAAATTATAACATTACCATTAGTGAAGTTCAGATGAGGACAGTGAATCTCCTACAAAAAAAAATACATTGTTTTGTTTGATTTTGAGTTTTGTTCCTTGAAGATTGTAGTTGTATTACTTTTTTGTTTCTTGTTCTAACTAATGTTTCCAATTTGTTAAAATACGTATTATTTTCTGTCGTTTATGTTTTATTTCAACACTAATATAAAATCGAAAAAAATGTAAAACTCTCATTTTTAAAATAACATTCAAAATATTAAGAATATTATCTCACACATTAATTTTCTATATGAATTTAAAATTTAAATCAAGCAATAATATATATTTATATTTTTTACACGTAATAAAATAAAGTTATTAGCTAAAAAAACTGATTGAATTTCATAAACAAATTCATATCCGCAATAATCATCTAGTTATTATTTATATACACAGACACGCGGTAGGTTTACCTTCTAGATTCTCAAATTGATTCCTAGTTCGGAACATCGGCTTTGAATTATATTTTTGATCTAAAAAATGGACACAATAACCCACCAAAAAAAAGAGCTTATAGTATACATACTATATTGTGAAAAAAATGTCAAGACTATGGTTAGCACATTGATGCAATTAATTCAGATTCATTTACAAACCACAAAAATGGTTAAGACTAACATGAAAAGAAACAAGAAATTAACACACAAATCACAAATTATGATTCTATGTACAAAACAACAAAGGTCTTAATTCATGAATAAACAGATTCACATCAAAATGTTATTATGTACCACCCTCCAAATCCATCTTTTGTGAATCCCTCCCTAACAATAATTTGATACTCCCAACATAAAATCTTCCAAACAAATCCCATGAATTCCAATTATTTCTAAACCGAAATATCTATTTAGAAAATTTAAAAAGGTACTCGAAATTTTCTTCCTTGTGATGATCGGATCGAAACATCAAAGG